CTTAATTCATTTTGAGGGATGTTAAAGAGCCCTTTTTCGGTTTTTGTATGTTTTTTTTTTTTTTTTTTTTTTTTGGTGTTTTGAGACAGGGTCTCACTATGTAGTGAGACTGATCCGGAACTCACCATGTAGCTCAGGCTGGTCTCAAACTCACAGCGATCCTCCTGCCTCAGCCTCCTGAGTGCTGTGATTATAGGTGTGTTTCACCACACCTGGCTGATTTTGTTTTTTTAAGACAGGGTCTTTCTGTGTAATTTAGGTTGGACTTGAACACATTGTGTAGCTGCGGCTGGTCGTCTTTGTAGGGATCTTCCTGCCTCTTCCTGAGTGCTGTTATTGAGGGGTGTGCCCCCACACCCAGCTTCAGTTATTCGTACAACTATTTTTGGTTGTGATTTGCTTGTGGCCAGAGCCAAGGGGAAGTGTATGCATATGTATATGCATGTACACATAAATAGCACATGTACATACACACATCCATGTATGGTACAGGATTTTCAGTTCACACTCACTTCTGCTATTCAAATTCAAGACTACAAAGTGTATACCTTTGGCGGGGGTACTAGGGATCGAACTCAGGACCTTGCGTTTTTGAGGCCTGGAGCAGAGCCACTGAGCTCCATGGCCTGAATTTTTACATTTCTCTGTAAGATTCTTGTTCTCTAAGATGAAAGTAACTTTTTGTATACACTTCCTTCAAAAATATTGTTCTGTTTTTGCGTTGTCAGAAGCATAGAGCACATACAAGGTGTACCCTTCCTTCTAGCCTATATTTTATCTTAGTTCTGTAGGTCAGTATGTGCCTGCTCACCATGCCTACCTTTACTTTACTGTTTCTGTCTTTGGTATCATTCTATAGTGAATTCTGTAGCAAGTGCTCATGGGAACACTGCCTGAGTTCTGCCTTCTGATGAGTCGCTGCCCCTCACATCCCAGTCTCTGGGTGTCAGGGTTCCCGGGTGTGCAGTAGGCTGTTATACAATACTGTACAAATTATTTCCTATTCATAAAACTTTTGTTTTGTTATACTAGGGATGGAACTTCAGGGACTTTCAAAAAGCATTGTGTCACTGAACTACATCTCTAGCCTTTGTTTGAATTTTTGAGACAGGATCTTGCTTGCTGTGTTGTCTGTACTGATCCTAAACATGAAATCCTCCTGCTTTAGCCTCTGAAGTGCCTGGGTTTGCACATATTCACCACCCTTATTCATTTATTTATTTATTTATCCATCCATCTATCCATCCATCCATCCATCCATGTGCCAGGGATCAAACTCAGGACCTTGGATTTGAGAGGCAGGTGTGGTGCCACTGAGCTAAATCTTGGTCCACCTTTAGTGTTTTTTTTGGCGGGGGGGTACCAGGGATCGAACTCGGGTCCTTGTGCTTGTGAGGCAGGTGGCAGAAGCACTGAGCTAAATCTCTGGCAACCTTTAGTTATTTTTAAGGATACAGTTGACTGGGTACAGTGGTACACAGCTAGAGTGTGAGCCACTCTAGAAGCTGAAGCACGATGATTGCCACACTTGAGGCCAGCCTGGACAACTTAGTGCGAGCCTGACTCAGATAAAGGGCTGCTGATATAGTCCAGTGCACCATTTGCCTGATACTGGTTCAATCCCCTGTCCCAGAGCAAGGATGAAATTCACTACAATAAGTCACAGTGTTTTCAACTATTACTGCTTCCTGTTTTTAAAGCTATCACCCAGTCTTCTCAAAAGGGCCAGATAGATAGTAAATAAGTATTTGGGGTTTTGTAGGTTGTCTGTAGACTCTGTTCCTTCTGGGTGTTTATCATCTCTTCCTTAGTTTTTTTCTCTTCCCCTTTCTCCCACCATTCCCCCCACTTTTTTATTTTTATTTTTATTTTTTTTTGGGTGGTGATGGTTTTTTGAGACAGAGTCTGCTATGCAGTTCAGGCTGACCTTGAACTCACTACATAAACCAGGCTCGTGTTGCACTTGGGTGATGCTCCTGCCTCAGCCTCCCAAGTGCTGGGATTATAGATGTGTGCCACCATGCCCAGCTTTAAACTGTACTTAAGTTTAAGAGCCTTAGCATAGATTTGGTCCATGTGCCTAGTTCACTTGGTCCTGATCTGAAGCCATCAAGCCACCTACTTACTAATTGGGTTGTAGATTTTGGTTTTGAATTTTTCTTTTCCTCTCCTCTTTCTCTTCTTCCTCCAGTTTACCTTTTTCAGCTTTTCTCATAGATGTCTTTTGATTGTTCCACGTTGGATATTATTGGTGGTTGTTTTTAATTTGAAACTGTTTGCAGAGTGCAGCCATTGGTGGGTTGTGATTAAAGTTCTGCTTTCCTGCTTCTCTTGAATAGAAGGACACAGTGGCACTGGGCCATTGTTTTCCTGCATGGCCACGGTGACTGGGGGAGGAGCTGTGGCTCAGAGGGGCTACACTCCAGGACTGGGGAACTCCCTGCCAGCAGCACATTCGCAGTGGTATTTGTGGTGTGTGCAGCTCTGAGGGAAGCAGTTGCTATCATCACTTGGATTTTCATCAGTTGTGTCGAATTATGTGACCTTTACAACTAACTCGACACTGCCCGGCTGCTGCATTCTGTGTGCCCCCGTTACTGTTCTCTCAGTGGATGATGGAATGTTTCCATTCAACTAAATTTTTAATTTACACATTGATGACTTTTAATGTTTCTTATCCTTTGAACAAGTAAAAGACAAAAAGATCTTTCTGTTTTGGTTGGGTTTTTTTCCTGATACCAGTGGAACCCAGGACCTTGGGCTTAGCAGGTAGGCATGGTGCCACTGAGCTACATCCACAGCCCAAGGATCTTTAATATCCATGAGGAGGAAATTAAAATGTTTACTTTTATCATTGTACAAATTATCTTTATTGAACCTAGGTTCTTACACATGCACTTTATTTCTGGGCCCCCCTCTTTTCCCCCTTAAATGTTGAGACAGGTCCTTGCTGAGTTGCCCAGACTTACCTAGAGCTTGCAGTCCCCCTGTCTCAGCCTTCCAAGGAGCTGTGATTATCAATATGGACCACCACACCCAGAATAATTATCTTAATGTAAAACATTAATAGCCAGGCGTGGTGGTGCATGCTTCACCCACCTAGACCTGCTACTTGGAAGTCTGAGGCAGAAGGGTCACAAATTTAAGGACAGCCTGGGTAGCTTAGTGAGACCCTGGGTCAGAATAAAAAATTTAAAAAGGCCTGGGAATGTAGCTTAGAGTAAAGGCTCTGAGTTCAATCCCCAGTACTACTAAAAATAAAAGTTAATAGCTTGCAAACTGCTCTGTTTTACAGAAGAGGTGAGGAAACGCCTTCATGGTGGTATCTTGGCTCACGAATGCTTTGATTTACAATTTCATTCACAAACAGAAGCATTTGACAAAATTTTGCTTCTATTTGCAAACTCTATACCAGATGACAAACATAACTATGGCTTTTTTTTTTTTTTTTTTTTTTTTTTTTTTGGTACTGGGGATTGAACTCAGGTCCTTGGACTTGTGAGGCAGGTGGTGGAACCACTGAGCTAAATCCCCGGCCCTAACTGTAGCCATTTTTTTCCCCCCTCAGTTTTGGGGATCTAACTCAGGACCTTACACGTACTGGGTAGGTGCAGTGCCATGAGCTAAATTCCTAGGCCATTTTCTTTTTCTTTTTTTTTTTCTGGTACCTGGGATTGGTCTCAAGATCTTGTTCTTGTCAGGCAGGCGCGGCACCACTGAGCTATATCCCCAGCCTGGTCTGTGGCTGTCTTTCCCAAAATCATGGAACGAATTAAGTTTGTGAACCAAGTTACCACTGTACTTTGAAACTTTTCCTTCCATTTAAGTTCTAGAAGCCAGGTACACTGGTTTGCACCTGTAGTCTCACTTAGCAACATAGCAAGATCTCATCTCATTGAAAAACAAAACTTGACATGGTGGCCCACGCCTGTAATCCTACCACTTTAAGACACTGAAGCAGGAGGATTGAAGGTTCAGGGCCAGCCTGGGCAACTTAGAGAACCTGTCTCAAAATGTAAAATGAGGGCCAGGGGTTTAACTCAGTGATTGTGCTGCCTGCTTCACAAGCTCAAGGTTCTGAGTTCGATCCCTGGTACAAAAAGACAAAAAAATAAAATGATAACAGTTTTATAAAGTAATAATTCAGAAAGGGCTGGAGTCTAGCTCAGTGGGAAACCTCTGTGTTTAGAACTCAGTGCTTAGTGGTAGCTGTCTACATAACACAGGTGAAGTTCCATTTCTTCTCTAATGCTTCCATCCACTTATGCACATCCTTACAGTAGCACAGGGAAAGGTGACTGTAGGGCAGGTGGAAGCAGAGGTCCAGGGTCACCTGGGTGGCATCTCAGAAGAGGTTAGATTTCATTGTAACTTAAAAGAGAGTTATTTTTTTCCAAGATTTATTATGAGGAATTAAGACATTCAGCAGGGTCCTAATTCCTGCTGCTTGGATTCTGAATGTGAACATTTTATCACCCTTGATTTTTCTGCCTATTTGAGATTCCTCGACTGATTCCATGTACAGGGAACAGAAGGTAAAACTTTTTCTAAGGACCATGACCTTTAACCTGTATCTTTAACTAGATTTAAGTAGTCACTTCCTGGGTGAAGCCTTGTTATAGTGTAAACGACAGTTGTGGTCCTCCTTTGCCAGAGTCCCATATTCATGCTCTTTATTTATTTGGCATTATAATTATTTGAATAACCATGTTTGCTGACATGATACTATACAAACATGTTTTAAAGTGTGCGGTATCAAATAATTTTATTTTGCCTTTTTTTTCTCTCTGCAGATAAGGAACAACAAGAAAACTGCCATCTTAGTTAAAGAAGTAAACCCTAAAAAGAAACTTTTCTTAGTTTATCGACCAAATACTGGGAAGCAGCTCAAATTAGAAATTTATGCTGATCTCAAAAAGAAGTATAAGAAGGTATTTTTATTTCTATTTTTTTGGTGTTTTGAGACAGAGTCTCACTGTGTTGTTCCGGCCAACCTTGAACTCGCTTTTGGAGTTCAGGCTAGAACTTGGCGTGATCTTCCTGCTTCGGCCTCCCTAGTGCTGGGATTGCAGGCGTGTGACAGCACACCCTGCCAAGAAGGTATTTTCTTATTTGTACATTACACCACTTACAAATACTTGATTTGTGATATTGAAACAGCCTGGCACAATGACATGTATTTGTACTCCCAGCTACTTGGGAGGCTAAGGCATTTGAGCCCAGCCTGGTCAACTTAATGAGACTGTCTAAAGATAAAAAAATGATAGTTAAAGATAAACCCTAAAAAGAAACTTTTCTTAGTTTATCGACCAAATACTGGGAAGCAGCTCAAATTAGAAATTTATGCTGATCTCAAAAAGAAGTATAAGAAGGTATTTTTATTTCTATTTTTTTGGTGTTTTGAGACAGAGTCTCACTGTGTTGTTCCGGCCAACCTTGAACTCGCTTTTGGAGTTCAGGCTAGAACTTGGCGTGATCTTCCTGCTTCGGCCTCCCTAGTGCTGGGATTGCAGGCGTGTGACAGCACACCCTGCCAAGAAGGTATTTTCTTATTTGTACATTACACCACTTACAAATACTTGATTTGTGATATTGAAACAGCCTGGCACAATGACATGTATTTGTACTCCCAGCTACTTGGGAGGCTAAGGCATTTGAGCCCAGCCTGGTCAACTTAATGAGACTGTCTAAAGATAAAAAAATGAAAATAATTGAAGTTACAGCTTAGTGGTAGAGTACACAAGGTCATGGATTCAGTCATCAGTGCAGCCAAAATACGTGTGTGTGTGTGTGTGTGTGTGTGTGTGTGTGTGTGTGTGTGAAGAGAGAGAGAGAGAGAGAGAGAGAGAGGAAGAGGAGAGAGAGAAAAGGAGAGATGTGGTTAGAAACTATGATGAATGCATAAATGTTTAAAAACATTACAGTAGCCAGGCGTGGTGCCGCACGCCTGTAAAATCCCAGCACTTGGGAGGCTGAGGCAGGAGGATCGCTGTGAGTTCAAGACCAGCCTGGGCTACATACATAGTGAGTTCCAGTTCAGTCTTAACTACATAGTGAGACCCTGTCTCAAAAAAAGATACCTTTCAGAACAGTGTCAAGCTTGGTTATAAGAATGTCCTAGACTTACTGTTACCAACCATTAAGAAACTTAAGTAAGAGAATGATTTGAATCACTGTATGTGTGGCCTTTAGTGCACATTGTACAATAGTTAGAACTTTTAGATAAAGGGACGACGTGTGAGCCTGAAATTCCTTCCCACTTGGGTTTTATTGTGTATGTGCCACAATGTTTGTATCTTCAGTGATTTGTAGAAAATAATAATAGCTAGTTTCCTAATATTATCTGTAGTTTGTATTCTTAATAGTTCCTTAAATTACTTTTCCTAGCTATTCTCATTTGAAAACAATTACAATTCACCAAGACATTTGAAAAACTCAGTCTAAGGAGGAAAGAGCAGAACTTTTCGCATGGCATTTGAATGGAGCTGGGAGTGAGTGGGGTTTTTGAAATAGAGAAGATGTTAAGTTGGTATCTCTGGACTGATTTATTTAAAGCAGCACTGTTTCAATGCAATTTTGTTTTATTTTCACAGGTAGTCTCAGATGATGCCCTTGTGCACTGGTTAGACCAGTATAATTCATCTGCAGATACTTGTACTCATGCTTATTGGTTAGTATTTCCCTGTTTCTTGCCTAGTTTTCCAGAGTACAGTCAGGATGCGTGTGCACCTACAGTCTTTTCTGATAGGTCCTTGTGAGTAAAGCAAACAAGCCTGCTGGTCCCCCTTGCTCTTTTCTGATGCTTTTTTCCTTCCGGCCAGCCCTTGTCTGGAGGTATGGTCTTAACTGTCCTTCTTGGTTCTAGGAGTTACTTTTTCTGTCTTCATCTTCTTATACTCTTTCTTTGTTTCATCCATCCTCTTTCTTTTTTATCCTGGGTCCTTTTTTTTTTTTTTAATTGTACTGGGGATTGAACTCGGGTCCTTGTCCTTATGAGGCAGGTGGTGGAACTGAGCTAAATCCCCAGCCCCCTTCTTTCTTTTTTATAAAAGCCTTGCAGGTATCCCAGATCTTGGGACAGAAATTAGGAGACTGAGTGGCTGCCCAATACAGGAATACTTGTTGTTCCATTCTGGAGTTAATCCTATTGTGGTCGTCAGCTCAGCCCCTCAGGGATTGTCTTAGACTTGTAGTACTCTTTAGAGCTTAAATCTCTAATATTTTTTAACCTATCAAATAATTAATGCTCTTGCATTGTCTGGGCCACTATGTGAAAAAGAACAATGAGTTTTAGTTCAGAGTTTGTTGACTAACATAGGTAGCTAAATTTTGATGTGAACAATATTTTGTTTTCATTTTGAATACAAATTAATGCTATTAGAAGTTAAAACAGCTGGGTGTGGTGGTGCACACCTATAATCCTGGCATTCAGGAGGCTGTCAGGAGGATTTCCAGGAGTTTGAGGACAGTCTGAACTACACAGCAAGACTCTGTCTCCGAAGACAAAATAAAAAGTTAAAATTTAGGAGGAGTCTTTTAAGATAAAACATTTTCAAAGTTAACATCTGAACGTCCTCTGAAGTATTTGCTTTGTGTCACAACACAAAGTGTGTCATATGCATGCAGTTACATGAATATATATGTTCCTCTTGATGCTGACCATAAAGAGATTTGGTGAATAATAAAAATAATTGTGACCATAAAAGACTGGTTCATCTCCTTTTTTTCCTCAGTTCTCCTTAAGTCTACCTGTAATTTTTCTCTTTTTTTTTCGGTCACTGAGCTCTTTCCCACTAATCTGATTTAGAACAATGTTACTGTAGTTTAATAATACAGGTTGATTTTAGACGCTGACATTACTACAGTAAAATCATGGATATTAAATGCCTAGATTTTTCCATTTGAAACCTGTGGACCTTGGGAACCTTTAGCAGAGGCGCATGTGTGTAGGTGAACATAAGAGCTTTTCTTGCTGTCTTTCCTAGGCGTGGCAATTGCAAAAAAGCAAGCTTGGGATTAGTCTGTGAGATCGGTCTTCGCTGCCGCACGTATTACGTCTTATGTGGCTCAGTCCTGAGTGTGTGGACAAAAGTAGAGGGTGTGCTTGCCTCTGTCAGTGGCACGAACGTGAAAATGCAGATAGTTCGGCTAAGGACAGAAGATGGACAGCGGATTGTAGGTGAGTCTGAGTTTTGTTGTGCTTAATTTATGAGGAAAAATCACGTGTGCACTTTGACTTTGGTTCTGACCTCTTAGTGTCTCCTATCTGCTCAGCAGTGGGGTGCGGAACTCCCTTTATGTGTCCTGTGGGGTGAAGCAGGCGTTGCCTGTGCAGGGATGTTGTGATTTGGCTGTAGTGGTCATGGGTTGTCCCTGTGGTGCTGCACCATGTCCTGTGCTGCACGGCCAGCCTGGACCTCGGCTCAGCCCCTGAGCCAGCTTGAGGCTGTGGAGCACAAAGGGTACGCCAAGAGCCTTGAGCAGCAGCCCTCCTCAGTCCCAGGAGTGGGCTTTTGTTTTTATGATTTTTGGCTCTTATGTATTTTTAGTTGCAAGGTCCTGAATTCGATCCCCGGTACAGGTGGCGGGGGTGTTGCACCAGATATTTAGCTCAGGGGTGCCGCCACCTGCCTGGCAAGCACAGGATCCTGAGTTCCATCCCCAGTACCCCAAAAAGAAAAATGAAGAGGTTTCATGTGAAAGTCTGGATTTCCAGCATATTCTAAAAAGCTGCTCTGGAGCGTCACATTCACATGCCTTACAGTAGAGCGGACACCCCCTTCACTGGGCCTGTATGCCCCAGTGTGCTCCTCTCTGTACGCACTGCGAAGCTGTCTGATTGGGTGAGCACTGAAGTTGGCAGCTCCTGTGTGGGAGTCATTTTGTGCACGTGTACTTGGTGAAGGAGGCTGTGTCTGTGCTTTGTGGAGCTGGAAAGGATGGTAGGTAGAAGAGAACTGCGAGACCCTTCCATAAGAAGAGGTACGCTAGTCACACTCGTGCGCTGCGGTGTTGGTGGGGAAACTGCTGAGGAACCAGGTTGCATCTTCACGCCCCATTGCAGTTACTCAGTACTCGTTAAATTTTTGTGTGAAGTTCTTGTTTGTTAAACTTAAAATTACCTCATTTGGAAACTGCTGTGAAGTTGTAAGGTTCAGTATGGTTTCTACTAGACGCAGCTTTATAAGTTCTTGTTGCTAATTACAGGCTTGATCATTCCGGCAAATTGTGTGTCTCCTCTCGTAAATCTCCTGTCAACGTCAGACCAGTCTCAGCAGCTTGCGGTCCAGCAGAAACAGCTGTGGCAGCAGCATCACCCACAGAGCATCGCCAACTTGAGCAACACCTGAAGGACAGACAGGTTTCAGCACGGGTGTGTCTGAGATGCTGTGGGAGCGTATCATTTGCATAAAAATCAGGGACAGTTTCCAAAGAATTATATATTTTTTCGGTTGTGCTCTTTAGTTAATTTTTTGGGGAATAAGGACAAACCTGGAATAGGTAGCAAAACTGAAAATCAGCAGTGCCGATGGTAGTATATGTGTCTTTCCTTTCGCCTCCCTGGGGCTTCCTGTACGCTTCTATTTGGGTGAGCAGAGGGGGATACACGCACACACGCGCGTATGTGTGTGTATGTGTATGTGCGCGTGTGCGTCGGTCTGTGTGTTAAAGGCTACAAACCACATTTGGTTTAAAATGCTTGGAACTTCCCAAACTGGCTTTACTTTTCTGTTATACAGTGCTCAGGGTTAATGCAGTACATTCATGTCATTGCTGGGGGAGCGATCCCCAGATGCATGTCTTGAGTCTATAAATATAGAAAATATATATTGATTTGTTTTTTCCAGCTTAAAGAATAGGTTTACTAAAGCATGAAATGAAGACTGCATATCATGCATCCAGGTTCTTTTGTAGTTTTTGTTCTGACAGTGCATGTCTTTGAAAGCATGCGTAAACAAGGTTAACACAGAAGCCAAGTATTGGAGAGAAGATTTGTAGTTGTACAGCATTGGTTATTGCATTTTTATAGTGTTTATACCTGGGTATTGCTTCCAGCCCTGCAGACCCTTCCCCTCTCTCTTCCCCACCCCAGGATTCTGTCATGGTAACGAGTACATACTGTTTTGTAATAAAACTCTTCAATGTTAATTTTAATGTATTAATAGTATTCCCAAAGTGTGCTGCAAAAATGGCTATAAGCCTGTTTTTCTTAAAAGTTACATTTTCCTTAACTTAAAGATAGTTTTAGAAGTACAGTTGGCTTCCATCTTACAAACACTCTGGTTTTACTTCATTTCATTATCTGAAGTTTTTGTCTCACAAACAGAAAACCGTACTTGAGTTGTAAACTAGAAATGAGGAAACACTTGAGGCTTCTGCTGTATGTTTTTTTGTTGTTATTGTTGTTGTTACCCAGTAACTTGAATATTGTTTCATGTGTTGTAAGACATTGTAGAGTTTACCTAAAGCTGTTAAAAATGGTAATGTACAAATGTGAATAGACACTTATCTATAACATGGGTAAGTTTTGTTTCGCCTATAATAGATGTTTATAAAAACAAGTGAGGGACATTTGGTCTTTTTTTTTTTCTTTGCTTGCACAGGTTGCACTATTAAAATTGAGATTGTATAAACCTGGTCAAAAACTGCAAGGTACCAAAAGCTTGTAGGTGTTAAATAAAAAGTTGTCATCCTAACGAAGTGGACTCGTGCTTAGGCCCTACTGGGGGACTTCAGTGGTAGCCTGGAGGGGACTCTGCAGGACTTGGTGGGGCCTCAGGTTCCAAGGAGCCATAGAGTCTGGCTTAAAACCTGCTCCTAAATTCTGAGGTGGTGTTGAGGAAGGGTAAAATGATAGACTTCTGACTGTTTTTCAGCTTGAATTGTTCCCTTTGTAACTTTTTAAACTTCTCAAAGAATTAGGGAAGATGTCTATTAAGGGATAGAAACCTGATCCAAATTTAGGTTTTTGATCCTTTTGTGTTTGTTTCACCCTGACTTTGGTGAAGTTTATTGTGTTTTCTTTGGATTTATTTTTTTCTTAGTGCCTAACAGAACAAGTTGAGAATAGTTTCTGTTCCTGAGCATGTTTTGCCCAGTGGATGCAGCTGTTATGTCCAGTCCAGTCAGTGAATCTCAGGCAGTGATCCTTAACATCTCCCAGCGTCCCTCGTCAGGACCACTAACTAGCTCCCGCTACAGCCAGAGCCTCCCAGTTAATGCTTGTGTGGAAACGTGTCCTGCCAGTGACCTTTCATCATGTTAAGGTGAAGCCGAACTGGCAAGGGAGTCATGGAAAGCTGCTCCTGGTGAGACCCAGTGGTGGGGTCAGCACAGATCCTCCTAGGCCGTTGGCCCAGCTCCCCTTCCTGTGTGTGAAGGGTCTCTGTCTAGCAGGCTCTGGTTCCCTCAGCCCAGGCCACACTGTCATGTTTGCACTTAGTATGAAGGGGCTAAGTGTGCGGTCTTTGTAGGAATGAGGTGCCTGAGAGCCCTTTCAAAGCAGACTTTGAAAAGGTGAGCAGTGTGATGGGCAGCAGCTGGGGGCCGCATGCCTACACCCAAGGTGGTGCGTGTGTGGTGCCCAGGGCCAGGGCCTGCCCCTCCAGAGCAAATAACCCACGTCTGCATTGTGCCCCTGTGAAAGTCAGCAAGTCTGCGTTAGCCGCCGGGGCAGCCCCAGCACAGGGGCCACTTCGTGAGAAGCCCGGTTCTTGACAGCTGCCAGCTTGTGTGGAACAGGTCCATCCTCTGCAGGATCTAGATGCCACCGCTCCACTCAGAGGCCTTCTTAGCTTAGCAGGAGTCCACGCAACCTCTGCTATGCCTTTCCTCCCTCTTTAGCAATATGGCTCTGAGCCTGCACATTTGGTTGTAAATTATGCTTGTTTTCAGGGTGTACGGTGCTGATTGTCCTGAAAACCACTTGTGAGTCCAGAGCTGCTCAGACATCCCACTGGCCATTAGTGTCCCCTCACCAGCAGCCTCCCTCCATAAAAGTGTTGAAGTGTTTCTTTAAACACAGTTTGATCAAAAGTAGGTAGGCTAAGCAGTTTTTTCTTTTGGCTACTAAATTGTGCTACACTCTTTGGTATCTTCTCTCCACTGTGTATACGAATTAGCAAGAACCTGCATCCAAAGCACTATAGTAGGCTGTGTTTGTATATGTGTATGTGTGTGTGTATATATCTATCTTATCTATCTATATATATATATATATATTTATATTTATTCTGGGTTAATTAGTACTTCACGAGTCATTTTGAGTTGCAACAAAAACTCTTTTTAGTTTTAGTTTGCTCTGTCTGCAGAGGCAAAAGTTATAGCTGACCAAACTCTTTGGGGTTATATTTTTGGCCTTAGCCCGTGGAACATTCACTTGTCAGTCTCCATGTGATGCTCTTCGAAGGACTTCTGACAGCAGGAGAAAGAAGATAGCAGGACTCTGTCCTGTTGTGTAGTCACAGCATTGTATACCGTCCTTCTACTTCCCAGTTTAGCATGGAAAAAAAGTCAGGAGATTAGGGATTATTTCTGTGTCTCAGTTTAGGAAAGCAGGGGCAGAAGTTTCCTTTCCGTCCTCTTCTTAGTAAGTTATTAAAAATCAGGGCCTTAATCCAGTTACTTTCACTTTAAAAATGTCCATGAGTGGTACTGGGCAGCTCTGAGAAGGGTGCTGGGGAAGCCGCTGCTGCACAGAGACCCGGATGCCCCCGCAGCACAGTGGACTGTCCCTCCCTGGGCCTGTGGCCTCTCTGGCTCCCAGCACACGTGTGTATACGCCCATGTGCTCAGAGGTCGCAGGCATTCCATGTCGGCTGCAGCGGGAACACAGTCCATTCGCAGAAGAGCACCTCACTTGAGGCCAGTTGTCAGAAGTGTGGTGTGTTTTCATTGAGTAAACCACGCGTAGATACCTGCAGCTCAAACTAGCTAGCAACTTTCCTGCGTTATGTTGGTGAAATCTGGAACCTACTTTCTAATTGTATGCTGTACTTATATATATGTACATTAATAATGTATATAGAGAAATGTAAGTTCTTTTGAATTCTGAATGTAAATATTTCTTGTAAATTGGGACCCCTCCCACTTATTTGTCCCTTTTCCCTTACTCCTATTTATTCTTCTCTTAACATCCATATGGGGTGTTTCACTACTTTTTGTTTTCCTGCTTATGAAAGTATGGAAACTTAGTTGAGTTTGTTCTGAGCTCTCAGTTTCACATCTTTGCTGTACAGTTCCTGTCTGTTCAACATGCTTGATTATGCGCTGCATTTTTATCACAGTCTCGTCTGTGTGCGAGATGTCGTATTGAAGGAGTGCACTGGAGTGCCTGTCTGTGACTGGTGGGGATGTTCAGTGCATTATGTTGTTCTCTGGAAGCCGCAGTGAGTCCGACATTTTCTTTCCCTTTTGTTGGGCCTCCCAAGACTTCATTAAGCTCCTGTAACTTCTTCAGTGCGTTAGGGATCAAACTTACCTCTTTAGGAAACCTGACTTGCTCCTTCCCTTGCAGTTTTTCAGGCCTGCACCAAATCTCAGGTTGGATTTTCCAATAAGCGTGTCATTGTGCAGATTAGAAACTTTGAATCACTTTTCACAGCCCGCTGCTGCAAATGCCTCAAGAAGTTGAGCCTGTACCTTTAACTCACATATAACAATCACAAGTTTATTTTGCAGCAGATGCAGGTAATTAGTCTGCTTTGGCTGTAACTTGTTAAGGATATTTATAGCAGATTCCCAGTCGGTGACAGACAGGTGACATTGGAGAAGGTGTATGCTGTAGGCCACTCTTAGCACCAGGCTGGCTCTGCTGGAGGTTGTTGTGGGCACTTAGTGCTGAGGACCGGCCCTGGGTCCCCTGAGCCCCACCCTCCTCCCTGTGCTGAGAAGTCTTGGCAGAACCAGCCAGGAAGCAGATTGAGTCAGAAAGTGGCCTTCTGAGTTGTTAGCAGTAGGGAATGGTGGCAACACCCAGGAGGAAAGCATCGGTTTGTTGTTTGTAGCTTTGGCACCTTTAAGAAAATCTCTCTCTATAATTTTCCCAGAATGACTTGTGAGCATTTCTTGGGCCTTTGATTCATGAACTAGTTCTGTTCATTATCATTCAAACTGGGACACTTGGTGAAACTTTCAAAGTGACCTGCCTTCGGGTAAGTCTCAGGAACTCCATTTGCCATGACCCAGGGCCGGTCACAGTTTCTCAGCAACAACCCCTCTCGGCCCAGCATTGGTATTTGCAGCAGCGGTGGTGAGGACAGTGACACTGAGGTGTCCTGTGCATGCAGTCAAGCAAGGGAGGAAGCCTGGGTGAGTGGTTTAGGCTGAAGGACAGTCTGCAGGTCCCTCGGGGTCTGGCCCTCCACCCAGACCCCATCCCAGTGCACACCGAGGGCCTTCCAGGCTGTAGCAGTGTTTGGCACTGAAGAGATTAGAGAAGCTTCAGCCTTCCCCTGCCTTCCTACTTCTGGGGCAGAGAGTGCTTTTTTTGTATGTAGCACATTGCAGTCACCACAATCAGGAAAGAGCATCCTGTTCATGGTTTATACTAAATTTGCAAACTACTGATATTATTTTTCAACAACCACTTGTATCTACCATCAACCATCAGAGGTGGGAAGAGGTACACTGTATCTCTGCAATAAAACTTTTGCCAGGTTCTACCTCCTCGAGCAAAGGCTGTTTTCTACGTAGGTGTAGACCTTCCTCCCCAACTAACCTGACGTGGTGCGTCTCGACAGCATCCTGTGGAACCCAAAGACCATCCCAAGCAGAATGGACGCAGACTCTCGGGGTTTTGTTCCCTGCTCTTCAGCCTCCCCCTTACATCGCCGCTCTGTCGGGAGTATCCTCTGTGTCCTCTGCCGCACTGCTGCCTTCCTCCTCTTCTGAGCAGCGTGAGCGCCCGCCTTTTTGATACGGAACTTTCCTCCAGTACTGGTCTCATGCAATAACAGCGCGGGCTGCATCCATCAAGGTTCATTCTTGCAAGGAAAAACCATCACCCATGAAGCGTAACAAATTCTGTATTTAGGCTTTCGTTGTGGTTTTCATTTTGTTTTTGTTTGGGGTCTTTTTGGTTTTGTTTTTGTAAAATTCTTAAATAAATTAAAGAAAATGAATCTGCTTTTCTCTGTGTGTGCTTTTGGTGCGGGTTTGTTGCCCCTGTTGGCCTGTGTCGTTTCCACCTCGCCTCTTTCCACTGGGGGGGGACATGTGTTTTTATGCTGCCCTTGTGTTTATAGTGAGTTTATAGAGGACAGTGAATATGCTTGCCTAGTTGGTGCTGCCCCGCTGGCTATGGTTCTGTCACCTTCATGGCCACCAAGCAGAGGTCTGCCGTGAGTGCTGAGCCCAGTGGGAAATGGAGCCAGCAGCAATCCCAGCAGTTGCCTGGCACCTTCAAGCGAGTCTGCTCGTCTGTGCAGCCCTTGCTCTTCCCCTGGTTTGCAGAGCGACTTCCTTTGCTTGTGTGCTCTGAAAGCTCTTTCAGTTTCTGGATTTGATGGAGTTGGTGCCATATCATTCACTTATTCTGTAAGTGTTCAGTAAGCAACCGTAGTATGTCTGGCATTGGGCCCCAAGCGGTCCCAGTAGGGGTTATTCATGGGCAGTGGGTACAGTGAGCAAAGGAGACAGTAAGATTCTAGCAGTGGCCAGTTGTGGTTGTGGTTGTGGTAATGCACACCTGTAATCACAGTCTTCTGGGAGGCCGGTGCAGGACGATCACTAGTTTTAGCCCAGTGTAGGCAGTTTAGACTCTATCTTGAATAAAGGGATGGGGCAGGGGATACAGGTCAGTGTGAAAGCCATGGATTCAGTCCCCAATATGGGGAAGGGGGTCCAGTGTCCCAGGAATTGGGAGGAAAACCCCCACAAGGCCCTGGCGAGGGTCCCTGTAAGGAGGAGGCAGATCACCGAGTGGCCACCAGAAGGCCATGTGCTAAGGGCTTGCAGGTCCTTGGCACACGGGCTGAGGCTTCTTGGTACATGAATGAGGGTTGGCTCAGAAGCTGCCTCCTGCCACTAGCTGGAAACCTGGAGAACTGGGACCAGTGGACAGAGCACAGAAGTTGAGTGGCTTGCAACAGCGGCAGGAGATGTGTGCATGTTTTCGGGGAGGCTGTGGCTCCAGTCCTGGTGTGCCCAGAGGGTAAGTCCGTCACCCCTGTTCACGGGTCTGGGAGACTGTGGAGCTGGCGCCTGCTTCCGGCTACATCAGGGGTGGGGTTGGAGCAGTAAGGGCAGCCCCCATCGACAAAGTTCTAGCACTTCTTCTGATTTTGGTTTTTTGAGACAGGGTCTCTATGTAGTTCACACTGGCTGTGAACTGTCAGCAATCCTCCTGCTTCAGCCTCCAGAGAGTTGGGGTTTGGTGTGTTTAGAATAGGGCGCATCTGAGAATTTCTCTTTGGTGTTTGAAGTGCTGGAGAGAACATTACTTAATTATATCTTAAAATGTTTAGGGAGTTAAATGTGTAGATGTTAGTATTTTTGGGAATTTAATTTGTCATATACATGAGATAACAGCATTAACTGAAGATAGAAGGGAATCTTTTAAATTTTAACAAAAAGTCAAGTTGAGTGTGAAGACTGAAAGGAAACAGATTTTAAACTATATAACCAGCTGGATGTGGCAGCACATGCCTATAGTACCAGCACTTGGAAGGCTGAGATGAGAGGGTCTCTCATCAGATGAGTGAGTTCATGAGCAGCCCGAACTTCAGCAAGACCCTCTCTCAAAAACAAAAACAAAACAAAGAACAAGTGTAATTTGAATAAGAAGCAAGTTTGAGGCCAACCTGTACTACAACGTGAGACTGAACAAAACAAAATGAAAAGAAACGAGGGACCAAAGTTTATGGCCTCCATCATTCTCATTGAGTTTTTCTGCTATGTACCCAGTTGGCTTTGACCTTGTTCCCTTCATTCTCGTTCTTGTTTGTATTTTTTTGAGACTGGATCTCAGTAGTCCAGGCTGGTGCTGAACCTGGAGCGGTCCTCCTACCTCGGCCTCCCAGGTGCTGGGGTGGCTTGCGCCACCATGCCCACAGACCTTGTTCCCTCCATTGTCTCTCAGCCCCAAGCCAAGATCCCTCTCCCTGTGGCTGCCCCGGTCAGAACACTGTTGGCATCTGGTGGTAGTGGTGGTGGTCCTGGGCACTGAGGAGTGTGGAACAGCGCCATGAGCGGAGCCCCAGGTGACAACTGTTAGGCTGACGACAGACGGCACCCGCCCGCCGAGGTCTCCCTGTGAGAACTGCTGCTGTAGGCAGATGAGTCAGGAGCAGGAGGAAGCGCGTCAGCGGTGTGCACAAGCATGTTGACAGAGGACGAGTCCTGGGAACAAAGGGCACCACCCTACATGCAGAGGCACAAGTGTTAGCAGGCGGTGGCTGGGAGTGTGTGGTGCCATTTCTAAGTATGAATATTTATCAGCTAGTCATTTGGGAGCATGATGTAAAGGAGCCATCTGCGGAGGCCTTTATGGAGAGAGAAGCTAAAAGAAATGTGCAAAAGGCTTATTTTTAGAGTCCCATTCCTTGGGAGTTGGCTTCGTCCTCGGAAAGCTGCCCACTCTGGTGTCAAGTGCGGTACTGGCTTAGGCGGCAGGTGCCACGCTTTGGTTCCAGGTCTTCGTGGCGACTCGAGTTTCCACTGAGTGTCACGCAGAGGTGACGGCTGGGGGATCCAAAGTGTTGGGATGCTCAGCTCGGTCCTCCTGCTGGTCTCTGTGCGTGTGGCCTGTGACAGGGACGGTGGGCAGAGTGACACCATGAAACTGTTCTTCCTGCCCGCCCCTAGCCCCTTTCCTCGCTGCTGTTCTCTCCGCCTTTGTGTGAGCCCTGCATTCCCGGACAGGTCCAGCCCAGAATAGTTTATTCATTGCGGGGCGGCGGGGCCTGGTGGTGCACACTGTGGTCCCTGCTGCTCAGGAGGCAGAGCAGGCATCTGCAAGCTTGAGGCCAGCCTGGGCCACCTAGCTAGACTGTGAGAAGACAAAAAAAAGGGCAAACATGGTCCTCGGGTTAGATCCTATTTCCTACATTTTTGAAAGACTTTGCAATCTGAAAATGGTTTTTGCATTTTAATGGGGGTCATTTGTGACAGGGCTGCCCTGTGTAGACCCGGCTGGCCTCAAATTCATGGCAGTCCTGCCTCAGCCTCCCAAGTGCTGGGATTACAGGTGTGCACCACCACTCCTTGGTGGCTTTTAACATTTTTACATGGTTTTGTAACATGAAAAATATGTGAAATTCAAATTTCAGCATCGTCATAAAGATGCTTTGGAACACAGCTGTGTCCTGTTCGGAAGTGCCTCTGGGCATCTCGTGCTGCACCGGGAGAGCAGTGTGGTTGTTCAGACTCTGGGCCTCACAGAGTAGCTGCCTCCAGGTCTGCGGAGCACAGCTGGAAGTGTAAGAATTGGAGAGACCACCTCTGTTGTGAGCACAGTACCTGCAGTCCCGCTGCCTGGGAGGGTGGGCTGGGCCTGGAAGATGCAGTGCAGCTGCATGTAGCTCAGTGCCTCAAAGCTGGCTGTGCAGCCTGAGGCCCTGGGTTCCACCCCCAGCGCGGAATCAAGTTTCCAGTTGACACTGTGGTGCAGTGGGTACAGCCTATGTATGTTTAGAGAGTTTAAGCCCTGGGGTCAGTCCCAGCATGCAGCACACAAGCTCAAGCCATGGCTATAGCCCAGGATTTGGGAGCCTGAGGCATGAGGATTGGCAAGAGCTCAGGCCAGCTGAGAGCCTGTCTCAGAAGAACAAAAGCTCAGGCTTACGTAAGGTGTTTACGTAGGGTGTCCCATCCCACAGACAAAAACCACTGGGGACTCACAGCTAGTCTTGACCCTTCATGGGTACCTGAGGCACCACATGGATGGCTCTGGCCACCTACTCAAGAAAAGTTTTTTTCTTTTTTTAGTACCAGGGATTGAACTCGGGTCCTTGCGCTTGTGAGGCAGGCAGTTGAACCACTGAGCTAAATCCCCATCCCTACCTACTTAGTTTGGTTTAAATCAGCTCCAAACTTTTGGGTCACATGCTCTGTTAAAAAGGCAGAACCAGGCGTAGTGGTGCACGCTTACATTTCAGCACTCAGGAGGTTGAGGCAGGAGGATCACTGAGTTTGAGTTGGAGCCCAGCCTGGGTTCCATAGTGAATTGAAGACCACCCTGCATTAGAGGGAGACTGTGTCTGAGAAAAAGAAAAAACAGAAGCAGCCTGTGACTCAGTGTCAGTGGCCTTGCCTAGCAGGCACAAGCCCCTGGGTACTATGGGAGGAAACAAAACAGATTTTGGAGCCAACTCCCAAATTGCAGCGGGAATGTGTTAGAGTGCTGTTTTAATGGCAGATACTTCAGGAAATTGACCCAGGGAGGAATGGTGTGGGCTCAGTTTCAGAGGTTTCAATGCATGATCGGTGACCCTTGTTTTGGGCCTACAGCAAGCAGCACATCCTGGCTGCCAATCCCAGCCACTCAGGAGGCTGAAGCAGGAGGATCACTGATTTCAAAGCCAGCCTGGGCTACATAGTGAGACACTGTCTCAAACAAAACAGAAAAACAAAACCCTATTTGTTTAAAACATGCCTACTTAAAAAATAATAAAAAGGTATTTCCTTGAATATATTCATTGTGAATGGAACCTCTGGTAATGCTGCTTCCTCATCTGTGGAGTTTTAGACACAGAGGGCAGGAGAAAAGGAAACACGAGGTCCTTTCTGCAGCTCCTGAGACCTGCAAATGACTGTGTCATGTGAGGGTCTCAAGCTGAGAGCCCTGTGTTGGGATGATGAGTTCTCAGG